TCGACATTTTAATAAATTTTAGAAGAAAAAAACAGTGGCCTTTTAGTGGTTAAATAATGAGAAGAAAAACGGAAATACGAGAAAATAAACCCGAAAATATAGAGCAAAAAATCTTGACAAAATAAAAAAAAAATCAGTGAAAAAGCTTTAATATATATATATATATATATATATATATATATATATATATATATATATATATATATATAATTGAATAGAGGGGCAAAGTAGTCACAAAATGTCCAAATGTATAAAAAATAGCTAGAAATTATAAAGTCAAAGTGCCACGTCAGCATTTACAAATAAAATTTAAATATAGGGGGGTATTTGGGACATTTTGTAGTTCAAGGGGGCAAACTGGTACAACCCCTATAGTTCAGGGGTGTAAACTGTACTTTGCCCTAAAATATATATACTATATATATATATAACAAAGTTCAAGAATTCTGATGCTCTTACATCACATAAGATTTGACCTTGATGTTTTGATTTATATTATCTCTTCATCTTTAATTAATTAACTTCATCTTAATGAATAGAATTTTGATGTTTTATTAAATAATTAATTTAATTTAATTACGTGTGATTCAAAAATATGGTTCTTTTTTTCCTTTATTTATTTATTTATTTAATAGTGATGATGTTAAAGTTAGATCACCTTAGATAGTTGAAGTTTGATGAGCTGGAAGAGCAGAGTGGATCACTGGCTCACAAGCTTGATAACCTTGAGATACCTGCGATCATAGAACACGTGAACTAGGCCGGGGGTTGATCCGGCGGAAACCCCTCCGACAGATACCTGCGATTATAGAACACGTGAACTAGGTCGGGGTTGATCCGACGGAAACCCCTCCAACGCTCAAGTCAGACGTGCGGATAGTGGAAATAGTCCAGAGAATACAGTTAATACTTAATAGTATTGTTCAGATAATAGGACGTACCTTAAAGGAATGAGTTCAAACCTTTATTTATAGTTTAGTTGAGATTGTCGGGCTCAAACCTTACTTGAAGGTGATTGG